CCCAAATTTTGCTTTTATGCCTTTTTAATACTGACTTGAAATATGACAACTTGGTTTGTACATGAATATATTGCAGTATTTTATTTCCATATATTAAAAAAAAAAAAAATAACATTTCCGCTCAGGATAACGGCGGCGGTTTTCCTGGGAGGGAGTGGTATGAGTGTCATGACAATGTCATGTGATGGTAGAATTTCTTCATTGACGAATCTATAGTGGTTGTGTATACTTTATTTACCCATGTTTGTGTTCCTACCCCCAAGACTGAAGGGTTTTCTCATTCCTTTTCCCCCCGCTGAGCCCTCGGTGGGGGCTCCCGGGGCACGATTGGCGCTCGCCCGGCGAACCCTCCCCGAGGGGCGTCGGCGCCGCCCCTCATTTACACATTTATCCTCCCAAAAAAGTGTGGAAATCCCGACATTTCGGGTATGAAACAGCACTCCAGGCACACGTGGCCCCCCCAGACCCCTGGTGTGTGATGGTTTGGGCCAGCCCTGGCTGCCTCCACCCACCCCAGCTGTGCGTGGAATAATCGATCCGTCGGTGTGTGGAACGCGCGCGTGACACCAGCACGACCTTCACGTTTCTTTCTCGTGGCCTTTTGCAACCAAAAGCGACTTGACTTTCCTTTCTCTTCGGTTTTTCCAGAGCAGGAGGAGCTGTGGCTCGCTCCTTTTTGCGGAGAGGTCCCACCCAGGGCAGGTTTCTCTGTGTTTTTGGGGCTGTGGGGTCATTGTGGGGTCGGGGAGGCCACGAGTGCCCAGGGACTCCCTGGGCTGCTCCAAGTGTTGGGATCCGTGTTGGGAGCCATCCCGAGCATCCCTGGCTGGTTCCCATCTGCCTGTGGCTGTTGCCATCCGTACCTGTGGATATCAGAGGGAAATCTCGACTTGCCTTGTGTACTCTGGCTTTTCCTCCACCTTTCCAGGCCAATCATCTTTGCTGCCAGTCCAAATTCTTGTGTTTGTCTGTTCATAACAACCTCTGGCGTAACAAACTATTGACTGTTCTTAGGCAGTGGGGATAAATTTTCTTTTCCCACGACTTTTTGTGACTGACTTTGGCTGTAAAACTTTTTTTTTGTTAAACAGCGAGAGTTTATTTGGGGGGGGGGGGGGGGGTTTGTTTGATTTTCATTTTTCTGTTGTTGTTGTTGTTCCAAGATGTGTAATTCTTTTATGGAGTTTTGGTTTGGTTTTGTTTTCTTTTTTGGTTTTGGGTTTTTTTTTTACTTCATGGTTTGGTTTTGTTTGTTTGTTTTTTCTAACATTGCTTCATTAAACAACTGAATATTTAAAAATGTAATATTTGGACCAGATGTTGTGAATAATAGTAGATAAAGCTATTTTATTCTGTATTTTTAAAGCTGTTCAGTATAAATAAACGCGGGCATAGATGCAACGTGGTGGTGGTGTTACATTTCCTTTGAAACATCCCTTTTGAGGGAGAATCGTGGAATGGGAGAATCCTGGAATGGTTTGGGTTGAGAGGGACCTTAAAGGCCATCCAGTTCCACCCCCTGCCACGGGCAGGGACTCCTCCCACTAGCCCAGGTTGCTCCAACCTGGCCTTGGACACTTCAGGGATCCAGGGGCGTTCTCTGGGAATTCCATCCCAGCCATTCCATCCTTACAAGGAATAATTTCTTCTGATTAAAAATCAATGATTTGGGAATCCAGGTGATGAGAATCCCTTTGGAGCAAGTGCCACCCGAAAATGCAACCCCCAAACACCTCCCTGAGCCTGCCAGCTCTCAGGCCCCAGCTCGTGGACACATTAAATTGCTGGAAGATTTATTGGGAAGAGGCTCTTCCTGCCCGTTCCTCACATGGGAAGTAAAATGGCCCCAAAGTCACCCAGACTGTCAGTGAGAGCAGGGGAAAGTGTGTTTGGGATCAGAGCCAGTGGAGCAGCTGTGTGACCAGGGCAAGGGATTCCTCCTCGCTCTGGGTTTGGGTCTGTGATGAAAACCCCTCTGATCTTAATCCTGCCTAATCCCCCGTGCTGCTGGGTCAGAGCTGAGGGAATAATTGTGTTTTCTCCTTGTGTTTTACCCCAATCAACATTCAGCTTCGACCCACCAAGGGCTTTATTTATCTGGGGCAGAATCCCAGAATTTGAGGATTTTCAGAACGACTGAAACGTCTTCAAACAGGGGCAGCAACTGTGAGGCAAAGAAAACCGCTTCGGGTCCGAGGAAAGGCTTTTCCAGAGCCACATCTCTTCCCATCTGGTTCCCAGAGGGCTCTGTAAGAGCTCCCAGATGCTCCCACCCAAACGTGGATCCCAGTAAAAGTGCTCAGCATTTGCTGACCATCAGCTCGGGGGTGGGGAGGTGGAAGCTGAAATGAGGGGAAGCTGCCAAGGCAGCGGGGAAGGGGGTTTGGATGTTTGCTCGGTCTGGGAGGAAATAACTGAATTTGGGAGAGTTTGGGAGCTGGTGCTTCGTGCTGAGGCCTGACTGAGGTCCTTGGTGGGAGCAAATCCCTCCAAGATGACAGTTCAAAAGGCACCAGCTGCGACCCCTGTGTGGCATTTGGCACAGAAATGCAGGATTCACAAGGAATTCACCTGCAGAACAGGTGCTGAAGCATCCCTGCTTGCCGATTCCTGGGAGATCTTCAGCAGCCCGGAGGGATGCTCAGGCTCCAGGGAGGGGGGTGGAAGCTCTGGTGTCCTTCCCTGTGGATTTGGTTCCTCATGGATCCCTCTCCTCTGTGGAGAAGGAGGCACTGGCAGCCTGGCCCGGCCTCTCACACTGCAGGGTGACCACACAGCAGGACAGAGTCAAATTCCTTGTACTTGGTAACTAAATCCCTCCATCCGGGCTCGAGCCTTCCCAACCCACCACAGCACATCACAAAACCAGGATTCAACCCAAATTTGCAGCCAAATCCCCCCCATGCTCCCTCAGGTGCCCACCCCAGACCCTCTGTTTATTTTTACTTTTCACTCCCTTTGCACCCATCCCACGAGCTGGGGGTCGGTAGAATCCTCGGGGTGAAATCCCTGGGATTTCTCTGCTCCATTGTGAGCTGGGCCGGGCTCTTCCCACCACAAAGGGGCCTCTGATCCCGCCAGCCCCGAGATGCTGCTGGAATATCAATCCCCACCAGCCTGGCTCACTTTCACCGAGTCACTCCTTCCTCCAGCCAGATGGCTCCTCCAGAACTTCTCATATTTTACATCCAAATCCAAGAAAACCAGGGGAAAAAAAAAAAGGCTGATTCCAGCCCGTGCCTGCAGAGACGCCTGTTTGGCTCAAGCAGCTGCTTCGATTATTTCTTTGTTTTGGGATATTTTTTTTCCCCTTCGTGTGGGCTGTTTCCAGGCAAATTCCTTCAAAAGAAAAAAAAGAAAAAAAAAGCCCAGAGGAGCCACATGGCACTGGCAAAGGTCAGGAGCAGACAAAGGAGGAGGGACACGGCCGCTGCTCCTCTGGAATACTGAATACCCCCAACCTCCCCCGCCGTGTCGGGACCGGCCGGGCAGGATGGGACCCCCCTCCCGGGAATGCTGAGCACCAGGTCAGAGGTGACTGTGACCCCCAGCTGCAACAGCTGCTTCCAGGCAGATTTTATTTGAATTTATTTCCTCCCAAATCCCCTTTTCGGGGGTGGTTTTGGATCCGGAGGGGATCCCACGGCCGCGGTTGGGAAGCGGTGCAAGGCTCCATCGCTCCCTCTCGACGGCAGAACTGCCCGGCTCTGGCACTGGATATCCCGGGATTTGAGGCATTTTAAGGCAGAAATAACCACTTTAGCCTGCGTGATACAGCCCAAAAGACTCCTTCTGGGAATTGTGCATAGAGCTGGAGCTGATTATAAGATCATTTCCAGCCTGGATGCGTGGGATGTGGATTCATTTGGAATCCTGCTCCTGGCAGCGGGGATGGAGCATCCTTTGGGATTCTGGTCCTGAGGCGCAACCCCGGTGCCAGAAACGGTGTTCCTTTGAGAAGCCAGAGCCTGAACCAGGGCTGCGAGACAGAGCATCCTTGGGGATTCCGGTCCGCGCGGGGACAAACCGGGCGCCTGAATCCTTTGGGTTCGCCAGTCCTGGTCCCCGGAAAGGGATCCCGGAGCCGGGCTGTCCCTTGGGATCCGGGTTCCGGGATGACCCTGGAGCCAGAGGGGGGGTGTCCCCCGCGCTCCCACCCCCGCGGCCCCGCCCGCGCCCCTCCCCGTCGCGTCCCGCCCCGCCCCGCCCAGGGGCGGCCCTTGGGGGGCACCGGCTGCGGAGCGGGACCGGCACCGGCACCGGGTGAGTGCGGCCGGGATGGGGCGTCTCCATCCTCATCCCCATCCCCGTCCCGTCCTCCATCCCCATCGCCATCCCCGTCCCGCGGGGAGCGGCCCCGGGGCTGAGCCGCGGCCCCGCCACCGCCGCCAGCGGAGGAGGTGAAACCGCGCTCGCCGCGGGGAGCGGGGGCGGATCCGGCCCCCCAACCCCCGGGGTGACACCTCAGCACCTTCCGCACACCCTCAGCATCTCCCTCCGTGCTGGGCCCGCCGGAGCCGCAGTGCCCGCGGGTCCCACCCCGGGCACGGCACCTTCTCCGCGGCCCCGCCGGGACCCGCCCGCTGCGGGTCGGTAGCCCAGGACAAGCCCTTGGTGGCCACCGGCTCCAGCCGGGGTGGCTCCCACCTGCTGAGCGTGCGATGGGTCCCCTCGCCTGTCCCCGAGTGTCCCCCGCCCCGGTGGCACCGCCGGCTGCGCCAGCGCTCAGCGCTCCCCTCCTTTTTCCCCCTTTCCCCTTCCAGGACGGAGCAATTGGGCTGGAGAACAATAGCGGCGCTTGGAAAACAATGGAGCTGCCGCACCTTGGCGCGTAGGGATGCGGGAAGGACGCGGGGAAGGGATCCCAGCCCCGGAGTAGCGCCTGGGCCGGAGCCCCCATCGCCAGCACCGCGAAGGAGCAGCCGGGACGGGGTGAGCGCTCGGCCGTGTCGTGTCCTGTCCTATCCCATCGTATCCCATCTGCTGAGCGGAGCCTGGGGGAGGCTCCCGGGAGGAATTGTCGCCTCCGGATGGTGCTTTTGCTACCGATCGCGGCGGGATCGAAGCGCCCTTGGGCCGGGTAAAAGCCGCCCTGGGCTGCGGGGACGCGGCGGGGTTTGTGCAGGAGGGGATGTCGTGGCCTCCCCCGGGGAGAGGGATATTCCCACAATCCCTCGCACGGCCGGGGGGAGCCTCAGCTGCGCCAAATCCACCTCGGCGGGATCGACCGGGGATGCAGCCAAAGCTTCCCTGCTCTGCCGGGGTGGGGGAACAAGACAGCACCCCTCCCCAAAAATGCTGATTTCTTCGCAGGAGCAGCGTCGAGCATCCCTCTCCTGCTGAAAACACAAAATTGAGGGAGGATGTTCCTACTTTTCCCCTTGTTTTGTTGTTGTGTTTGAGTTGTGGATCTCCCCGGGAGCTCGGCAAAAGTGAGAGCTCATCCCTTCTCCGTGGGAGGGGCTGGCAGCGTGACCGGGCTCCCTCTGCCCCGCGGGGCACCTGGGGCTGTAGGGATGTGGGAAGGGGCTTAGGGAGGTGGTTTTTAGGGAGGGGAATAAATCTGGGGGCCGTGGGGGGTGGGTCACGGCTTGAAAGCACCGGCAGGAGCAGCTGCTGCTGGAAGGCAGAGAGGGCTGAAATCCTCCTGCCACGGGGGCAGGGCATTGATTTATCTGCTTGTGGTTCAAAAGCACTTTGTGAGGCCTCGGCAGAAGCTCAGCCTGGGCAGGGCCGGGGGGGGAAATGCGTCAGCTCAGGGTGGGGAAACTGAGGCACGGCAGGGCCGGGGAAGGGGACGGTGCTGAGCTGCCCTGGCCGGGCAATTGGGCAACTTGCACTTCACCAGCCCTTCTACTGGGGTGATTTCCAGCCTTTTGACAGAGCTGGGGGGGAATTTTGGGGGCTCAGCAGTGGCTGCTCTCTGGCTGGGCCTCTGTTCCCCTCCACTCTCCTCCCAGAGCTCCTCCAGACCCAAAAAAGGAAGAATTTGCCCCTTTCCTGCTTCTCGGAAGGGGATGTGATGACGGAGGCGAAGGTGGCAGCGCCGGGGCGTAAACAGGAAACAGGATCCTCAGCACAGGAGGATGAACCTGCCTTTTGGAGCTCCCCTTCCACCCCAAAATGAGCTTTTTTTTTTTTTTTTTTTTTTTTTTTTTTTTTTTTTTTTTTTTTTTTTTTTTTTTTTTTTTTTTTTTTTATGGCTGGAGTTCACCTCATGTCCCCTTCAAGGATCCAGGGATTTGGCTTTACCCCTTTGCATCGCTGTGATGCTCCTGAGTGAACCTCCACATGATACCAAAGGCTCCACCTGGGGCTGTGCTGCTGTAGGAGGGGTTTTTTTTCAGCCACTTTGAGGTTTTTTTCAGCCACTTTGATTTTTTTTTTTTTTTTCCCCAGCCACTTCGGTATTTCTGGCACCATTTTTGCCTGAGCCAACAACCCTGTTGTTTAATCCTCCCAGGACAAGTCCAGAGCTTTGCCATTTGCTGTCAGGATCATGAGATCCTCATTCCTGCATCTCACAGCTGCTGAACCCCAAATTTGGGTCCCCCACAAGCACTGACATTTATCCCAAAACCTTGAAGCCGGCTGCAAAATCCCCTCCCACTCTCATTTCTGAGGGATAAATGGGATTATTGCCGGCTTTATTCCCTGTGGGAGGAGGGATGGATGCGGAGAGGCGGCTGCCAGCCACAGGAGGAGGGTTTTGCCTGCTTTTGCCAGGTTTTCCCGAGGTTCTCCTGGAGCTCCTCAGCTCCTCAGGAAGCCCAAAGCTCTGTCAGCCCTTCCGCTGCGCCGCGGGGGTTTTTCGGTGCCGAGTTTCTCTTCTGCTTTTTCTCCGGGGCCGGAGCAGCTTCCTGCCCTTCCCCTCCTGCTCCACCTCCAGAGGGGCCTTTGCAGCCTCTCCTGGGGTTTGAAACACGTCAGGGAGTCTCTTTTGCCCTTGCCAGTCGTTTATTTGCTGGGATTTATCCCCACTCTGGTTTTAGGGGCGGGTTCATCCCCCCACACAGGTTTGTGTCGTTTCTCTCCCGCATCTGTTGTGGGGTTGGGTGTTTTCCTTGCAGGAAGAGGGGCGTGTTTCCCAGGGGAATGGGAGGAAGCACATGGTGATGTGGGAGGTGGAAGAAAAGGAGGGTTTGCAGAGTGAAGGGTTTTTTTTTTTCTCGTTGGAGACCAGGGAAGAGAGTGGAGAGAGCCTGGGAAAAGGGAAGCCCCTCTGCAGGGGAGGGGGCACAAACATCCCAGGAAAAGCAGGGCCTGAGGGACCCTTTTTCATCCCTCAAAGCTGCCCCAGTGCTGCATTTCAAGGTCTCTCTGGTGCCTGATTTCCACAGTCCACCAAGTGCTCCAAGGTCTTCACCCCCAAGCCCATTTTAATTCCACTTCATTACATCCAAAACTCACCCTGGAGATCTGAGCCAGGGCCAGTCCCAAGGCGGGATTTCAGGGGGAATTTCCAAGTGTTTTGCACAAGAGCAATGGAGTTGTTTTGGCACAAAAATCCAACTGGCAGGGTTAAAAAAAAAAAAAAAACCAACCCTGAAGGACCAGCCCAGAATGCTTGGAAAACCATCCCTTGTGCCACCACCAGGTTTGGGATCGGCACAGGGAAGCAGCAGCCAGACCCAGAATTCCATGTCCAGGGCCTTGTAGAATAAAATGACAGTAAAATAAATAGAGGGAAGGAGCAACTCCCACCTGTAACCCTCCCACCCCCCTGTCTGGCAGCACAGGGACATCCATGGATGCTCCACATGCAAATTCCGTGTAAGTGAATCCAGCAGGATTAAATTTTCAGTGAGTTTACAGCTCCTCTCCCTTTATCTGATCTCCCTCCTTTCCCATCATTTTCCCTGGAGAAGCCACATCAAGATCTGTGTCCTCTGGAGCCTTTTCCCAGGAGCTCTTCCAGACCCCAGGGAGTTTATTGTCCCTCAGTTTTCCATGAATGGGGGGTGAGGGATGTGGGAATGGGGGGGCTCTCACTGATGTTCCTCTCTCCTCCCTCTCTCCAGCTCAGCTCCCATGACAGGAGTGCGGGGGGATGGATTACGGAGGTGGAGAGGACCTGGTTCCCTGTGGGAAAGATAAATTCATCTCCAAGTAAGAGGCCCAGCAGGGCTGGAATTCGGGAATATGGGAGGGGCTGGGAGCTTGTTTGGAATGTTCCAGGGGGAATACATATTTGTTATTTATTTATTTATTTATTTATTTATTTATTTATCTATAGATCATGCATTTATATAGTGTATATATATTATATATACAGATTATATTTTATATATAGAATTAATATATATAATATATATTATGTTGTAGCATATAATATGAATTATATTATATATATTATATATTTAGTATATATGAGTATGGTATATTATATAATAGTATATTGATTTATTATATTGATTTATTCTACCTGTATAATATATGCATGTACTATCTATAATATGTAATATAATATACAATATATAATCTAAAAATGTAATGTATAACTACACATAATATAACAATACATATATGTAATATATAAGAATATAGAATATTATAAATATATTTATTATCTGTGACCTATAATATATAATATTCCATTGAGCTGGAAGAATGGGAGTGACCCTGGGTTTTACCTCAATTCAGTTGGATTTGGAAAGAAAAAGTGATTTTCTTGGTGATTTTCTTGGGTTGTTGATGGGATTTCGAATTTTTCCTTAGGAGTGTGACCAAACACTCCATAAACTTCCTTAAAAAACCCATATTTTGCTGAAAAAGTCCTGATTCAAAACTGTTCTTTTATTCTTTGGTAAAGAAGCAAAATTATTCCCAAGCTTCAGGGAAGATTTCGGAGGAGCTAAAGCCAATCTGTGATATTCCCCCTGTCCTTTTTGCCTTCTGATAACCCCAAATCCCCGTGATTTGTGCTTGTTTGTGATAGTCTGGTGGTGCTGATTGTCCTTAACCTCCACCAGCCAGCCCATCTTTGGGAATTAATGCCAGGGGCATCACTGCCCTGGGATTCCTGCCTGGGTTTGCCAGCTGGGGATGGCTCAATTTTATTTTTTTCCGACGATTTTTATTTATAATTTTAATATTTTTTAAAAATTTTCTTTTTCATCTTCGTATTTTATCTTTTAATCTTTATTTTTACCTTTGTTTTGGCCTTTATT